CATGGTCGTAGAACAATGCGGAGATCAAAAAGACCGATTGCAGCTCCAAGGGACAGGGATGTGAGCACCGAGCTGCATTTATAGCTGCTGATCGTAGTAATTGAATCGCGAAGCGTGATAGCTGAAACACTGCTGTGTGGAACACATCGGGTACGGTGCCACTGCATTTGTAGTTGCTGACCGAAGGGAGAGTGTTGTAAGAAATGCCAGTCAATTGATCAATGTCGTGGGCTGGTTTGTCAACTGCAGAATCCCAAAAAATTCCAGTATCAGGCAAGCGGTAGGGACCGGATTTTTTGTTTGTTTAATGCACCCCCGCTACATCATATACCATTCTGAAGCATATTTGATTGGCATTCAGAAAAGGTCTGTTGTGGTAATGTAACTTGGTGCAATTTTTGGAAAAACAGGGGTATATAAACATACACTATTTCGTTTTTTGAACTTTTTGTACATGTTATTACTAATGATTTTCAAATATGTAGTTCACAATTGTACATATACTACATACATGCATCTGAGATGACATTAGTCATAATCTTCGAACAAATTATGTCGATATTACATAAATTAGCATATATTAACATTAATTAAATATGGCTGCCAATGTGGTTTAGGATGCCTTACAAATTGTTTTTGGGTTACCATAATCAATGTCATATTTTTATATTGCAGTTTTTAATGGATTATGAGAATCGTTTCTTATTTCCAGTGACTGTTTTATATATTTATAGGAACAAGAAGATAAATATTTATTATTGCTGTAGCTGTATTGTATTTTTAAAAGTAGGCTAGTAAACTTTCTGTAGCAGTCTGATACCATGACGAAATTGTGATTTGAATGAATTCGCATGGTATTGATTGTATTTATTTATAACTTAATGCGTATTATTATTAAATTTTTTAATTGTTTTCAGGTATGAGTATTTTTTTGACGATTGAATTTCCTTGTTAATATTTTAATCAATTTCTCATTTCTGAATTCCAATTTAACATAACTTAATTATATATATATATTAAATGTATATTTATTTTTATAAGTGATGTAATTTTCATTCTAATTTTAATTGTTCATTACATTTATGTTTAATAAGTGACAACTTAAATTTAACTTGAAGGAACAGGACGATAATTATAAACACTGAATCGTGTATCTCCATCGAATGATTATTGAATAGTCTTTCAATAATAACAGCCGAATCGGTGAGTAACTAACTGGTATTCAGTAGATCAAACTCATTGCGAAGTAAATCGCTGTACAATCATTAATTAATTCTGTTATGATTGTATAGTCAATAATTGCATTTTGTGATGACATACCGATATACTGTTATGGTTGTATGTTATATGTAGTATAGTAAATTGGAACAGATAATGAGCATAATACCATATTTTATTTTATTTATCTCATAGAATTATTTGTTACGGTCTGACTGGTAGTTGTTTTGAGTGAGTGGTTATAAAGTGTTGCACTACTTGACAGTAGCCACAGAGGAACATGTAGCAGCAGTAGTTTTCTTTAACATTAACATGGCTTCTCAACTAAGTCCATTAAAACACAAAGTTCTTGCAAAGCGAAAAGGGGTTTTGATCAACTATAATAAATGTATCATCTGCCAAACTCTAACCACGGAGAAACTCAGTGAAACATGTGAGGCTGTGAAATTTTCTTTGTTCAGGACATCTGACGAAAGAAATGATGATGTTCTCGAGCGTCTCAGAGGAGTGGAAAGAACAATAGCAAGTTCATCAGAGATATGTTGCTCTTTTAAGTCAACCAGTGATCACCCGGAGAATACAGTGTTGTACCATAGAAGCATGCAAGCTACACGAGTAAAATTAATGTTGTTCCGACTGCAAAGTAGGAATGTCACGTCAGGACACATCCAATTGTTTCTCTTAGTATGCGCAAAACAAAGAAGAAAGCTCCAACAGCATCCAATAAAGATGTATGTATTATTTGCTTCAAAAAGTTATACAAACAAGACAAATTATTATGCAAAGTTGCAAGAAAGGACAGAGAATTCAACCGAAGACAAGCTGCAAAAGCCAGGGGCGATGAGGATATGTTACTTCGCATTGGTCCAGAAGATGGTCCTGATCTTGTTGCCCAAGATGTAGTGTATGTCAACTTATATCAGTAAAACAAATTTAGCATCATAAACAAGCAATCATGAGGACCAAAGTTGACCAAGGGAATAACAGATGATCTTCGTAAACATGGCAAAGTTTTCCCACTTTCCATGATGTATGAAGCGAATTTGCCAGAAAGTGTAACAAAAGATAGTTATCGGTCAGAAAAGCTGGAAAAGAGACTGGTAAAATATTATGGAGATAAAATTACTATGCAAAAAGAATATGTCAAGGAAAGTCTAATTTCCATTCTTAGCAGTTCAGTCTCTCTTTTATCAGAGTTACTTCCGAATTAAAGCAGCGATTAAAAGACAAAGAGCAAACATTTCAGCCTATAGATGTGACAAATATATACTATATTCTCCATAAAGCTGTCGGAGTTATTCATCAAGTCCTTAGCAGCATAACACGTTTAAATGAATATCCTGCTTTACATGACGTGAGCTTGCATGCAGAATAATTGTTCCCAAAACCTTTAGCAGTAGCTATGAAGTGACTAATTGATAAACGTGCATTTGATACTGGAGATCCGGAATATGAATCATCAGATGACGTCAGGAGGAAGTACCTATCTTTATCCGAATGTGTGATATTCAACAGTCAAAATGTAGTTCATTTTGAACTTGTAACTAAATCACGAATATAAAAAGAGGGCTATCCCAGATACTATGAATTATCATGGTTTGTGTATTTCCTATGATGAGCTCCGCATATTTATGACATCTGCTGCAGAGGAACAAATGGATTATAATAGTGATGTTTACATACCTCCAGAAATCATACCTACCACACATTAATACACGAAGGAGATGATAATGTTAACATAAATGCTGAGACGATTGATGGACAAAACACTTTCCACTCTATGGAAAGGGTTATCTTTCCGCAACAGAATGACAGCTCTACCAGCAACATTCCAAGAGTAAAGCGTGGTGATAACAAATCACTTATTCTAACAGAAGCAGGAAACTCATTGACTGAATGCAGATACTTCAAAAAGCCAACCTGTACCTCCAAGATTAGAAAGACATTTGGAAGTGCTGAAATCATCTCTAGTAATGGTAAGTTGATTATTAACTAATTATCTGTGTAATTGTAAAATTAATATCATGGATACAGTGTGCTGCACAGGAAATCCCATTCTGGACTGGATACAATACACAGCTATTAAAGACCAGTGATACCTACACAGCAGTGGCCTACACACCAATAATAGATGCCAAGCAAGCAGACATGGCTACAGTGTTTACAACCATGGTCAAATGCAAAGAAATGAATAACCACCTGGGACAAGTAACAGTTCAAACTAATCAAACAATTCAAATCTCTGGTCTTTGGTGACTGGTCCATGCACCTACAAAGTGTATATGACATGCTGCCATATTTCTTTGCTTGTTCGAAATGGAAACCGATTTATCTACTGAGAATGAAAAGATAGCTGATAACATCAAGACTTTATTTGAAAATGGACAGTTTTCAGTGCGACAAACAGCAGTTAGATTCAATGGCATCTGGTCAGACCTGGGCACAAGGAAAACCACAATCCGTGATGCTAAAGGAGACTGTGCGCATGGGCACGTGAGTTGAGTCAGTTGCGAGTAGAAACCTGGAATAGAGAGATCGAGACGACAAGTTTACCGTGTGGTAACAATAACTCAACTGTTTATTCGCTTCACTCGATTACATCCAAGTTACAATGAAACAACAAACAAACTACTAATAGTAACACCGGGATGTGATTGGTTGAAATAACCTTGGGTGTGACAACAGCAGTGGGTGTCTAATTAGGTCAGACTGTCAGACTAACAGTCTCCACAGAAACAGTGGAATAATTGGACTCACCAGAAAGGAGTCTGCTCAGGTTTGTTGGACCCTAATTCGTCATTTGCTAAGTGCTTATGACAACTCCATGAAGGAACGTAGTGAACTAAAAGCAAATGACTCACATGCTCACAAGCAACAATACCTTGCTGCCATGAAACGTAATGAACAGCATGTTCAGACATTGATTAGCCACATATCTGACAGTATGACAAGCCCATGTGAGGTAGATAACCATCCTGAGAATGTCCTCATCAATATAGCCACAATACTGCATGCAAGTGCTGATGTACAAACATCTTTACTAAATGCCACTGACAAAGGAGAAGATAAATGTGCAACATTTATCCAATCATCACTCTCATCAACATCCAAGAAAACAATATATGATGCGATTCCAAGATCTGGCCTTCTAACATTCTCTGATATGACCAAAATGACAAAGATCTGCAAAGGAAAAAATATATATGTGAAGATGAATTCAGAGTTGATATTCCGTAGAGCTTTGATCATAGCAAAGACACAAGAGCTAACAATACACAATAACAGCAATACCAACTTCACTATTCCATGAAGATGGTCAAATGAACAGAGGATAAGGTGAAGAGTGTAGTTAGCCTGTCACAACTGCCTGTTTGGGATACTGTGTATATACTGTGAGAGAAGGCAGTATCAAGTCATTGGTGGACGAGCAGTGCCACCATGGAGAAAATGTCTAAACAATCCAATTAATAAAGCAGCACTTGCAGCCTTCTTGTCTCAGTATGTAGTGAACAGGTTATTAAGGTAGAGATGCAGTTTATTTGTGAATTTCAATCAAAAATAGTTTTTTTCGTTTTTTATATAGTTTTTTATCTAAAGAACATTCTGTGAAAATTTGACCAATGAATTGTTATTGGAACACCGTTAAAATTGCTGTTTATTTTCTGGTTAAAAATAAAAAACACTCACACGTGGCAA